CGCCCTCGGCGCCGCCCCACTCCTGCCGCTGGTGCCGGGCCGCTGCGCAGGCAGCGCTCGTCCGCTGGCCCGGGCGCCGGCAGGTGTAAAGCGCGCCCCCGCGGGCCTTCTCCGGAGGCGGCACAGGCTGCTCGGAACAGCGCCCCCGCGCCTGGGGACGTGCGCTCGGGCGTCCGGGAAAGGTCCTCGTGGCGGGGTGGGAGGGCCTCCTGGGCTCGCGCCTTCGGGTCGTCTGGGAGAGGGGTGCGCCTCTCGCCCCTCCGTGCTCGGGCGCTGGGGATGCTTTCTTTGTTCTCCTCAGCGGGGGAGAGGCCAAAGGAGTCTGCGCTGCTGAGCAGCTGGGACAGCCGCTGAACAGCTGGGACAGACCGGCGCTCGAGAGGCGGTGGAGCTGAGGTCCTGCAAACGACTCACACTCTCGTGGTGGTGCTTGGGGCGTAGATGCTTGCTTCTGTGCGCTCGAGGAGATGCGAGGGAACTCCAAGGCCATGGGTTCCGTGCCTCGCAGGGCTCCAGTTCTGTTTGTCCCTGCAGTGGCACGTGGCCGAGGGTGTTCTGAGGAAGGGCTCGTTTCAGTGTTTGCAAGTCTAGTTTTTAGTAAGCTGTTCTGTGTATTTGTTAGGAATTGTCTTTATCCAACGTGCATACCACTGGTCTAGCTTTTGTCAGGCCTGCCAGTGGTGTGCATGTGGCAGCCTTTCAAGCATTTGAAAAAAGCCCCTTTGCATTCCTTGTAAGAATTCTAGTTGTCAAGAGGAGATGGCTCAGTTTTTTTGCGTCGTTTTGCCCGGTGGAGGTGTGATTTGGCGTCCTTTTCCCCAGCTCATCTTCCACATGAGTTACTTTGTACATATTCTCCTTAAGAAATGACATCCAGACTGGAATGTAGCCCTCTACGTGTAGTTTGTGAAACCCAGCATCGACTGGAATCGGTATCCTCATTATCACGGCTTCGTGCTTACATTGACACAGTCACAGTCATAGCTTACTCAAGTGTCAGTCCTCGGACCCTCCCGGCCTCTTGCTCTGCTCCGTGAGTCTTCCTCAGGTGCCCTGGCAGTTGGTTTTGGAAGGAGTAGTACCGAGAGCAAGGTTGCCGTGTTGGACTATGGCCAATTACTACAGAGTAGTGGTTATATTCAGGATTACAGCAGATGATAAAGTGCACAGTATGAGGGTACATCAAGAAGTACATGAAAAAATTTCCATTGTCTTTCAATTCTATTTTTCCACGAACTTTTAAAAAGTACCCTCGTATAATCAAGTGCAGCATCCTAAACATGATTCTCCACTATTATTTTGAAAAATAGGATTTGACGGGATTGTAGAATCTAGGTGAAAGTGGTAGGACTTGGTTTGGCAAGGATGTCTGAATTTGTTGTTGGTGTTTTTGGTGGCACCATGACTGATCACATCCATGGTCAGTAGTAAGCCATCATGGTTTTCAGTGCGAGAGGGTGTTAGATTACCAGGCAAAGCTAATAGTAAATATCAGATCCCACAGATATTCACATGCATCCTAACAGTGGCAATAGATAGGGTTACCCCATACTCAAAAGATTACCAACATGTTGTGTGGTAAAAAGTATTGTTCCCTTGAGAGATTTCAAAAGCTACACTGGTGTGGTGTAAAAAAAAAACACTGGCCCTTGGCTGGACAGTCCTGGGTCTGAGCCATATCACTCATCTCACACTGGCTGTGGGATCATGAGCAAGTTAACTGCTTAGTCCCAGTTTACTTCATAATGTTGTGAAGTTTACATGAGGTCATGACTGGCAGTGGCACCTGTAATGAGGTGATAGCTGTTTTTATTAAAAAGCTGTCCTTTTAATATGGAATAAACTCACAGTGAGGAGAATTCCAAAATAAGTGACAGGTACTCATTGGGAATAGAACATGCTCACTACACAGTCTGTTGTTGCCTTCTCAAGAGGAAAGGAGGGTACTGGAATAGTGGTAGAACATTGTATATAGGTCTGTGAGTGAAGAAGCAGCTTTCCTGACCCAGCACTGAGCAGGATGCATGATTTCCAGGTCTTTTCCTAAATGGACCCTTAAACGTCCAAACACATGACTCCACTGTTAACCAGTGATCCAGATTGTAAGATGACTGTGCTAGGCTATGGGTGTAGTCTTAGAACTAAGTGGCTTATCCGAGATTAAACTCTACCTCATTAGGACTTCATTCTGTTTGTCTATGTTTACTGGCCGTGGACTATAATCTAACATGGACTCTGAAACAACTTAAAAAGGGGGTGAAAATTTAATAATTGGACCATCTGGGTGATTTGAAAAATCTAATATTCAGCTCTAGGATCTTGATTATGAAGATTGACTCTTCCACCATAAAATGGAAGAGAATTTGTGTTAAGCTGGATGCTTCTTCACATGTTGTATTTACCTGTTGTAAGAAGCTGAGGGGTCATCCACGTGGTCATTTATTTTCAGAACCTCTACCATCACTACTGTCAGTTGTATATGTGGGTGTGATTGGAATCTTCTCCCAAGTATTTCCTTCTGACCCTCATCCTGCTGTTAGAAATCCAGAGATTGTAGGGCCGGCCTGGTGGCGCACTGCTACAGTGCGCCGCTTGGGAAGTGCAGTGGCGCTTCCCAAGGGTTCGGATCCGCCAAGGGTTCGGATCCCACATACAGACCGGCCGCTCACTGGCTGAGCGAGGTGCGGGAGCAACACCGAGGGTTGCGATCCCGATGCCGATCCCGATGCCGGTCCCGGTACGGTACGGGCGCGACACTGAGGGTTGCGATCCGTTGCCGGTCACGAAAAAAGACAAAAAAAGGAAAAAAAAAAAAGAAAAAAAAGAAATCCAGAGATTGTGAGGCGGAAGCAAGTATAAACTTTGTAGTGATAGGATTATAATAGGTTGTTATGAAAGTTGTCCTGATTGAGAAAATGTGTCAGTCTTCTTGGGGTCTGGTGGTTATTTTTACCCAATTTATATCATGCTTTGTAAAGCATCACTGTCGTATGTGAAGTAAAGCCATTACTTTGAGAAAGTCATGTTGGGTAAGTGAAAATAGGGAAGGATATTTTTACAGTTTTAGGAAGAGTAAAACTTTTCCAGATGAACGAGCATCTCCCTCTGAATTAGATGAAGGCACATTGCATTTTAACGGTTGGGCTCAGAAGGATACACACCACACTTTTTCTTCTTAGAGGCGATCTGGGAGCAGGTGAGGAGGGAGAGCTGGGAGCTGCACCGAGTGCCCTTCAGAAGTGGGCGTGGGAAGTTGTGGTGGCAGCCCCTCCTAGGCTTAGGCTCTAGCCTTGAAACTGATTTGGTGTTTGTTGCGAAAGGCACTTGTCACAATATGTTCTATTTGGGAAGAGAATTTTGTTGATGATGTTTTTGCTTACAATTTGAATATCAGCATATCCAAATCAACAGATTGTTTGGATTGCTTGACTTGGATTGGTATTTGTGTATATTTTGGGGGGTAGAGTTCCCAGATAAGATATAGGATACCACTTAAATTTCAAATGAACATCGAGTAATTTGTTAGTATTTGTGGTTTACCTGAATCTCTAATTGAAGTGGTATTTTTTTCTTCTAAATTTTGCATCTCTGGGGGGTGGGTTGGGTGTTGACAGAAGATATTCCATCTGTATTATTTTCATAATTCAGAGTTTGAAATTGGTATGTATTTAGAACTTTTATTGTTATAATCTTAACTTTAATGTAAATAGCTCTTTTTAACATTTTTAATTGTAGTGTTGCCTAATTGTAATCTTGAACATGGGCGGTGCTGTGAGTGCTGGTGAAGACAATGATGAGCTGATAGATAATTTGAAAGAAGCACAGTACATCCGGACTGAGCTGGTAGAGCAGGCTTTCCGAGCTATCGATCGCGCAGATTATTATCTTGAAGAATTTAAAGAAAATGCTTATAAAGACTTGGCATGGAAGCATGGAAACATTCACCTGTCAGCCCCATGTATCTACTCAGAGGTGATGGAAGCCCTGGATCTGCAGCCTGGACTCTCGTTTTTGAACCTGGGCAGTGGCACTGGGTACCTCAGCTCCATGGTGGGCCTCATTCTCGGTAAGTCTGGAAGGAGAATCTGACAGCTCATGTGTCTCTGTTTGGGAGATATCTCCTTGGATAGAACATACAGTCTGCTGAAGGCAGGCCCTGGTAGAGACTGTGGCCTTCCCAGCAGTATCCCAAAAATCATAATCCTGAAAGATCAAAATCCCAGAAATATAATCCTGGAAAAAAAAATAATTAAAAATTCTTTAAAAGACATTTATTTACATTTTTAAAAGGGGATTTATTCGAGAAACATAAAAACAGCAGAATAATTTATAGGCCACTTTACACAATAAAATAGGCAGTAATAACATATACATGTTTGCAAGCATAAGTACTTGGTATACTTGGGAGTCACACAGGTATAAGAGTTATGAGCAGGTGAACCGTATTCATAAAGAAATAGGTCAAACAGTGAAATATATAAATTCATATCACTGTGGTCAGTAATTGTGTGCACCTAGCTTTATAACTGTTGTCATCTGAAATACCATGATGAACACTCTGAATTTTTTGGTGAGATTGGTCAAAAACTCCTCTGGGCCACCACTGTGTAGACAGTCACCCAGAGAACTGAGGTCTCGAGAAATTTTCTCTTTTACAAATTCATGCACAAAAAGGACAGCTTTTCATTTATTGAGGAAGTTTCAGTGTTTTTATGCACACTAATGGTGCTTACATAGAAAGTCAATGTTGTGGTAAAGTACTTTCGTGGAGTCAAATTTGTAAAAAGTGTATAAAGCAAATTAGAACACTTTTTAAAGTTTTACACAATTTACATCCAGTTTTGGTAACGATGCAAAGTTGCAATACATAGCATGGTGAATTGTAAAAAATAATGCTGACAGTTTAACACAGTGGGGAAAAGAACTAAAAAACGAACCCCCCCCCCAAAAAAAAAAAAAACCCAAAACAGCTAAAAATAATGGGGCATATGAAAAAGTGTGTTACAGGCATAGATTGTGGGCAGTTGCACAGAGGGACCCTGTAAAAACTGGCCGACTTTCATGATTATTACTATATTTTGAAGTCTTACATTATGATAAATAGCTACTTTTTTTCTTTTTTAAAAATGTAAATGTCTTTTAAAGACATTTTCTAAAATTATTTTTTCCCAGAGTTATATTTTTGGGATTTTGATCTATTGGGATTGTGATTTTTGGGATTTTAGACTGAAAGGATTTTGTTTTTTCACGATGTCAGTGTTTGGGATTATGGCGTTCAGGATTGTGTCTTTTGAGATTATGGCCCAAACCCTTGCTTTTACTCTGAGTGAGGTGGAGTGGTTTTGCCAGAGGAGCGATGTGTGCTGATGTGTGCTGTGGAAGGTTACTCTGAGGGGGAGCAGGGGCCAAGGCTGCTGTGGCATGCTGGCTGAGAGACACTGAGTGAAGCTGGTGCAAGGTGGCTGGAGACTATACAAGTACTTTTTGATGTTGGAACTGACAGGATTTGCTGATGGAGTGGATATGGGTATGAAGGAAACATCAAGAATGTCCACAAAGTTTTTAGCTTAAGTATTTTGGTATTATCAAGTCAGTGTAAAATTCTCGATATTGAGCATTCAAGTTATAATGGTTTACATGTTGTATAAAAAATACATTGCATGTACATCAGCATTGTTCCTTTGTAATTTTATAGTCACTTTGGAAAATCCCAGCAGTAACGATTGATTGATTTTTGTGGATATGGAATGGAAATTTTGGTTTCTTTATAAGTTTGTATATTTTGGAATTTGGTGAAATTTTGAGACTGATCATTTGGCTTTAGGATATAGACTCTTACCTTCAGATTTTTAAGTTTGTAGGTTTTTATTTTTAAGCTTTTGACCCTAATTTGATACTTGGATTGAGACTATTCTGGTTTTTATGCTTTGAGAAGAGAACACAGTGCCCAGATTATTTATCATTTTTGAATTTGCGAATTATGATTCCCTGCCTTGTAGCTGGAAAATTGGAGGAGCTACTGCTAAGGTAGTACTTCTGGAGGAAATATATTATCAAACTGACTGGATTACAAATGGTATTGAAAAGAGCTGAAATGTTTAGGAAAAGGTGACTCAAGTAAGCCTGAAATGGCCTGTTGCATTTGACATCCCCTAGAAGTTACAAAGAAATGGTTACAATTCAATACTGTTGCTTCTCTTTTCTGAGTCCCCGATTTACTAGGAATTTCATTAGATGTCCGGAGAGGAGACATCTGAGAAAGGAAAGGCGTATTTTCTGCTGTAGTAGACATGACTTGCTGCTCTGATGTATTTGAAGGAATTGACTTTAGAGTTTGCTGTCAGGGGTGGATTCCACGCCTTGGCCAGGCCGCTCTCTCTGTGTCCAGGTGCTCCAGTTTATTCAACCTTAATGCCATTTGGTGCAAATCATTCCAGAGTGAAAACCTCATTGGCTTTTCAGTGCCTGCGCATGTGAGGTCTGCAGTCTTTGATCTGACATAGAGGTCCTCACTCTGAGCCTTTTGCCTGCTCTAAACTTCTGGGCTCAGCCACATTCCCATGTTCTGTGGGCCTCTCTCCCCTTTGCTCAGGACTCTCCTTGCCTTTGGTTCTCATCAGCAAGGGGAGGACGCAATACCTGCTTCAGAGATGGGAACTCAAGACTAACCTGTCTCAAAGTGCTCTGTGATTAGGGAGCAGCAAGTATGTGGGAGCTGCTCTGCCAAGGGGGGGCCTGTGGGTCTGGCTTCAGTGCCATGTCACAATGCTGTGTCCTAGATGCCGCCTTCTTGACCTCGTCCTGCCCACGCCCCCCCACCATATCCTCCTCCCCTTGCTAGTCATCTTTTTATTGGTGGGTGGGGGTTGAAGTATATGTGTTATTACTCTGGTGTTAAGCTTCTTTGGAATAGGAACCATGTGCCATATTGATTGTTAGAATTAACTACTCAATAAGTGTTTTGATAGTGAAGGTGAGGGGTTAATGAAAATGTGATGAATAGGAAAAAAAAAAGCAGCTTTTCTTGGTCCTTGGCACAGTGCTCCTATATCACAGTGATGGGAATTGAAGTCACAGAGTTGGCAGAAGGTCCTGAAGTTCAGAATAATTTGGGATTTGAGGCTGTAAACAGTGAAAATATGACTTCTCAAATAGGGTGTGTTTTGAGGAGGGAATGTTTTAGCAGCAGCTGTTGGAGAAGAAGCTGTTGAGAGAAGAGTGTAGCGGGCACAGCTGTCCAGATGAGGCCTGGGAAGCCTTGGCCTGAGGTGCTGGCTGTTGTCCTAGGACAGGACCAGATATATCCAAGTGGCAAAATGTGAGGGTGGAGGAAGCCCAGATGGTGCCTGTTTATATTTCTGCTGGATTGTAGGGTTGAGTGCTACAGTATGAGTACATGTCTACCAAAGAAAGTCCTGCATGCCCTGTTGATTTTCCCATATAGATTTTGAAAAATTGAGGTGTAACTTACCTATGTCACATGAACAAGTGTGAAGTGTGGAGCTCAGTGAATTTTTGTAGTGTTCACATAAGTATCACCCAGAACAAGATGCAGGGTACAGCGCTCTCTCCAGAAGGCTCTCACGCCCCTCTTCCTTCTTGAAAGGTGACCGGGGTTTTATAAACCTCCATCAGCACAGAGGAGTTTTGCCTGGTTTTGACTTTCATGTAAATGGGTTCCCACGACATGGAGATTCACCTTAGTTACATTTAAATAGTTTATTCTCTGCTCACCCAGATTTAACCTAGAGCAGTTTTATATTATGGGAACGTGTTCATCATTAAGCCGGCTCATAACTTTCTCAGTTTTATTTCAGATTATTGGTAAATTTTCTTTGATACAAAAATGCTTCATTGTGACTTGGAATTATATATTTTTTAAATGATTAAAACCTATTTTGTGAGGATTATTAAAATGTCCACATCTGAGTGTTTTGGGGGAACTTTTGGGGAAAACAGAATTGTCTTAAATACACCTCTGGAAAAGCACAAGTGAAGTCTGTCAGTTTCATTTGCAAATACATGTTTCTTCTTTAATTTGGTAGTAAGGCCCTGAACTCTTGGTTTTTTTTTTTTTTTTCTGTTTTCAACTGATCCTTTTAAAATTTTGGAACAGAGACCCAGAAATCAAAACAAGCATTTATGGTGTAGTGAGCAGGAACTGCTGTACACATTTAAAAGTTAGCCCTCATTTAGGCCCAGTAATGTGATAAAATTTTAAAACCTTGTGAATTTCTGTAATTATCTGTGTTAAATCAGATGTGTTTCAATTGCTAAAATAGAAATAAATGAGCAGGAGTTCTTGCCCTCAGTTCTAAAAGTGTTCCTATTCTCAAACCTTTTAGGTCCTTTTGGTGTAAACCATGGGGTGGAACTTCATTCAGATGTGATAGAGTATGCAAAACAGAAACTGGACTTCTTCATCAGAACGAGTGATAGCTTTGACAAGTAAGATCAAATAATATCCATTGGGTCTGAGGGTGTAAATTATAATTTAATGAGCTTTTGATTAGATAGATAGAAATCAGTTTATTAGTGTTCATATGCCAGGAAATGTGATTAAACTGTGGTAGGTGATCCTAGGGATATTTACATGTCTGTTCTTTTTTTTTTTTCCTTTTTGTCTTTTTTCGTGACCGGCAACGGATCGCAACCCTCAGTGTCGCGCCCGTACCGGACCGGGACCGGCAACGGGATTGCAACCCTCGGTGTTGCTCCCGCACCTCGCTCAGCCAGTGAGTGGCCGGTCTGTATGTGGGATCCGAACCCTCGGCGGGAGTGCAGCCATGCTCACAAGCGGCACACTGTAGCAGTGCGCCACCGGGCCGGCCCACATGTCTGTTCTAATTATTTTTTTAATATTCTGTGTTTTTAAGGGCTTTAGGTTTTTGTAACTATGGTACCTACATAAAGGTAATTTCTCACCAGCATAAGGAAAAAATGTTCATTTTGCTGAATTTTCATGTTTCCAATATAGACAAATTTTTATCACCTAATTATTTCAAAAATAAAAGTGTTGCATTTGTCTCTAAACAGTATGTTTAACTAGCTCTTCCCATTTTAAAATAAAGCATTAAAGTTCTCATTTAGAGATTAAAATTTTTAGAAAAAACAAACTTTTCTTTCCTTCATTTCACTCATTTTATAGATCTTGAGTATGATAATGAGCTGTAAGATGAGCAGTGACAACGATGATTGGAGGTTGTTTTAAATTTGCATCATGCTTATGTTGTTTAGTATATAATTCTTTCTGGAAGTGTGGCTTCCCTGGCTCTGTAAACTATTACATTGCCCTGGGATTTTAGAATTAAAACATAACCTGTGGTTAGCATAGATTTACTGTGTTGACTTGTTGCAGCGTGATACATTTAGTTACAGAAAACATTTTTTACTTACAGGTTTGACTTCTGCGAACCTTCCTTTGTTACTGGTAATTGCCTAGAGATTTCTCCAGATTGTTCCCAGTATGACCGAGTATACTGTGGGGCCGGTGTGCAGAAGGAACATGAAGAGTACATGAAAAATCTTCTCAAAGTAGGCGGGATCCTTGTTATGCCCCTGGAAGAGAAGGTCAGAGTCCTTCATTACTGGCGTTTTTGCAGACTGCTTGGCAGGATGTGTTGCAGGTGGTTTAAATATACTCACCTTTATGACAGCTCCCTCCATGTCACAAGTTGGGAAGCAGAGGCAGGGCAGGTGAGGGAGCTGGCCCAGCCCAGGCCGTGCACATGCTCTTGCTGGGGCCTGCACCTGAAGCCCTCCCTCCTCTTTCTCCTCTTTTCCTTCTTCACCCCCTCCCCTTACCCCCACCCGCCTTTCCTACCTCCTCCCTTTCATTCCCCCCAACTATTATAATTGTTCTATTGTGAGAATTACTGCATATAAAATTATTAGAGTAGTTATATTCTAATTGCTAGTCTAATTGTTAAATACCTTGATGACAAATATATTACAGGAATCCTTTGCTTAGTGGGAATCTTGTCCAATTTTGCTATTTGGTCATGCATGTCTATGTATATTTTAGACACTGAGTTTCACTGGGAAAAATAGATTATAATAATGAGCACATTTAATCAGACATGAATTGGTCTCAGGAAGAGTGTCTATCAGTCTTAAAGAACTAGGAAAAACAGAAATGATAAAATTAGAAGATTGTGCATTTTTATGCAATTTTGTGCAGTTTTTAAATATTAGCATTTATTTTGTTCAAAGAGTAATATTCATTTTAGAAAATCCATAAGATCTGAACATTAAGAAAAACTGCTCACCATACCTATCCTGCTGTCGGTGTGTGATTTTTACAGTGCTTTTCTTTTAATTTATACTCCTCCTTTTAAAAAAAGTTTATTGTGCATACTGGTTAATAACTTACTTAAAAGAGTTCATGAGTATATTTTAAGTCATTTAATGGTTCTACGTCATCATTTTAGTGCTTATGTAGTAGCTTGTTGAATCATTGACCGAGTTTACTAACTAGCTCCTGTTATCAGACATTAGGCTGTGTGTAGTATTTCATTATTACTTACTGTTATATAAAGGCTTTAGTGAATATCCCATAATTTAAAAAAATTTTCATCTATGAATATTTCAGTATATATCTGTAAAAGGGCTCTATTTTTTAAAACATCGTTATTGACCTAAAAAATTAATAGTAATTTGTTAATATCTTCAAATATCCAATTTGTGTTCAGATTTTCCTTACTGTCTCAAGAATTTCTCAAGTAGTTTGTTTGAATGAGGGTCCCATTTCAGGTTTATATCCTGCAGTTGGTTGATGTGCATCTCTTAAGGCTTTCTTAGTATGTAGGTTCTCCTTCCTTCTCTCTTTTTCACTTTCTCCTTGCAATTTTTTTGTTGAAGAAATCAGGTCATTTGTCTTATAGTGCTTTCTGCAGTCTGGATTTTGCAGAGAACGTGTCTCTGTGGTGATGTTTTGCATGTTCTTCTGTCCTCTGTAGTCTTTATGAATTGGCATTTGGATCTGGAGACTTGGTTAGGTTCAGGTTTGATTTATTTGGGACACAGGATATTTTCCAGGTGTTAAAAGATGCTTCCATTTGTGGGTACATCCTGTCTGCTGTCCCTTTTTTCTGATGCTGACAGCATGATTGTGGCCCTGATCCATTATTTTGTTAGGGCTATAGAATAATACATTCTGATTCCATTGTTTCTTCATTTACTAGCTGGAAGACTTCTGTAAAGAGAAAAACCCTTATTACTGATTTGCTTATCCTGAGGTATATTTTACACAGGAGAGGCAGGATACATTTTGATTCTTAACCTTTGTTAATTTTCTCAATAATTTGGTTCTCTAGCATCTGCCAAAGGTGGTAACCAATGAGGTTTTGTTTGTTTTTTAGTATCTTATGAATTCATGGATTTAAGCATATCTAATGTTTTAACATTGCATGATTCTTGCTAAAATGCAAATTGTCTCTTCTTTGTCCAGTGTGAGCCTCTTTATGTTGGTTCTTGGCCTTTGATACAACCTCAGTAGTCTTTGATAGCTTTTTCTGTTTTCTGGTAAGAAAAGATGTTCCAGACTCAGTTTGTATATTTTTGACCTCAGACTTGGAATTAACCATTTCTCTGGGGACCTCAGTTTCATTTTAATGTGAGTTGGTGTTTAGAGGCCACAACTGGGGCCTAGGAGTGCTCATTGATACTGGATTAGTGTTTTCAGTGGACTTCCAGAACTGGGATGTACACAGACACATGTACATGGTTTGGTTTTGTTTGGAGATAGAATGTACCGTGGATTCATACTGATGCTTCCATCTCAAAATCAGGACCAGAGGATTTTCTGACCTCTTCAGTCTCAACATCAGTTTCGCATTTCTCTCATGCTGGAGCGGCTGGTCCCCCCGACCCAGCCCATTGTTTGTCCACAAAACAGAATATGATGCACATTTGGGTGTCATATTCATATTCATTTCCAGCCTTTGTGTTGTTATGAACACAGAAGTGCTGCCATGAAGCACTTTTTGCCATTTTTTTGTGGATATTCTTGTATCTTTGTCTACATCCATTATCTCCTCCAGGTACAGGCTCAAAAGCAGAAGTGCTTGGGCAGAGTCTCTTCCCAGGCGCCCCTTCAAAGGCAGAGCTGTCAGCAGCCTGGAAGGGCAAGCAGCTGTGTCCTTGGTGACTGCTGTAGTGTGTGATGGGGCTGAGACACCCCCCTCTTTGCTCTTCCTTCCCAGAATATTGTTTTAAATATGTCTTTCTTATGCACATGATATTAGAAATCTTTGTTGTGTTGCAGTGCATTGAATTTTTGATTGGAATTGTATTATCTCTGGATTAATTTGAGGGTTTTGGACATCTTTACAATATTTTATCTGCTCATGTAGAATATGAAATAGGGGTTTATAGTTTTTTTTCAGGTTTCATATATTATGTATTTATTATATTAAAATATTTGATGTTCATCATAACTGTAAATTCTCCTTTTTAAAAATGCTTTTGAAAAACTTTTTGCTCATATACAAGAATGTCATTAACTTGTTCATGTTTACCTAGTATATGGGTACTTAATCTTTTTAGTTCTAAGATGCATGACATAGAATCTTAGGTTTTAGAGGATTTATTGGCTTAGATATTTTTAGAAAAGACTAGCCTATAATCATAGCATGACAGAACTGGCCAGGAATAGTACTGTGATCTGTTTAGGTCATTTGGAGCTGGCCCAGTTACACAGAACACACGGAGGGCCATGTTGTCTAATTGTGTTCTCTGATGCTCGTACTACTTTAATTCAGAAGAAACGTTTAGATGACCTGTGTTGCAGTACATTGGCCACCAAATTCTAGTGTTCTTGTGGAGGTGATGTCAGAATGAAGCTTGTTTAAACGCTTCAGTATTCATCTCCAAAGAATGAGGATAGGCATCTGGGTGTCCAGGATGACAGGTTTACATTTAAAGAAAGTAACAGTGACTCTGTAACAGTATCTGTTATTTAGTCCCCAGTTGTTGCAAGAATGTCTTTTTTGTAGTTATGATCCCAGGAGAAATAGGCCCGGATTCAGCATAGGTTGGAGTTTTGGGGTGGGTTGTTGTGTCTTTAATTACTTTTACTTTAGAACAGCTGCTGCTCTTACTTTCCCCCCAACTGAGGTCGAGAAAGTTGTTACATTCCTGACCTGATTGTTTCCTTCTGTTTTTCTTTAACTAGTTTCTCTGTCTTAGTTTATCTTATCTTTATTTCCTGTCAATAGAAGTTAGGTCTAGGGGCCTGAATATATATATCCAGGCTAAGCATTTTTGCAAGAATATTCATAAGTTAGATGTAGAGTCATGTGCCGCATGACGACATTTTGGTCAAGGTTGGGGGATGGTGGTCTCGTAAGAGTCTAATGGAGCTAGAGGAGTGCAGGAGGCTGTACCGTTGAGGTTTATGTAAGCTTACTCTATCATGTTCACACAATGATGAAATTGCCTAATGATGCGTTTCTCAGGATGTATCCCCGTTGTTAAGTGGCACATGACTGTACTTCATGCCATAGCACGTTAGGGGTCCATATTGTCATTTCATTTTAGTGAATCTGTGCATTTTTAGATTATACTCACATATAGGAATGATTATACTTAAATACAAGCTACCTAGTAGCCAACTCTTTTGAATATTCTTCTTTTGTCTTTGGGATAGTTGACTAAGATAACGCGCACAGGTCCTTCTGCTTGGGAAACCAAAAAGATTCTGGCTGTTTCTTTTGCTCCTCTGGTCCAGCCCTGCCATTCAGAGTCAGGAAAATCAAGACTTGTCCAGTTACGTAAGTAATAGATCTTTACTTTTTATCTTTCACATCGTTTTAATCTCATTAGAATTTGAAACGAGTTTTATAAGGACCTTTTTGATATTCAAGAGCATTTCCTTCCTACTGAGACCTTAAAGTTCTACAAGGGGTTTTAGGTATTTTAAAAATTATAATCTATTTTTAGCCTATCTTAGTTTATTTTAGCCTTCTGTTACATCTACAAAAAACTGTTGCTGATCATGCCACTAAAAGCAGAGGGCCCACATAATAGTTAATTCTCGCACGTGGGGGACTGTTTGCCTTCTCTACTGGGAGAGGTTTTAGAGAAAGAGTGATTGAGCTAGAGGCCACTTCACAGTCTGCTCCCCAGAGCAGCTGGCACCTGCTCCACCTGGGCACGTTCCTGGCACCTGCTTCACCTGGGCAGACCAAGGGCAGAGAGTACATTCCTGCTGGTCTGCTGGTGTGTGGCTGGGGACTGTCCCTGGGGCCTCCACGCTGAGCCTTTGCATTAGGTCCTTCAAGATGCAGAGTCAGCAAGGAGCTAACGGCAGGGCCAGTGTCTGTTTTAATGTTTATAATTTAAACCACACCTCACCCAGGGATGAGAATTCCAAGTGACTTTCCTTAAAATAAGATTATTTGGCATGTTCTCTGATCCAATTTATAAAATCGGGAAAATGGAAAAAAATATAGGCAGAGAAAAATAAATACACATAGTCTCACACCCAGAGACAATACATTTTGGTGAATACCTTCCAGAAACGTTTTTTCGTTTATGAGGAATCATTTATCGAATAGTAATCCTTTGGTCTCAGATAAGTACACATCATATGAAATAGACACAGTCCTTGAAATTTGGTAACAAGCAACAGTAGAACGTGCAAAGGGGCTTAGAGGGATCAGGGAAGGTTTGACAATCAAAGGATGATGTTTGTGCTTGGTCTTCAAGGGTGAAAAAGAATTCCTTGAAATGAGAAGGGAGGAAAAGTATCAACAGAGGCAAGGCAAAATTCAAAATGCACGTTCTCACTGTGTGGTCAGGTTTGGGGCATGTGGGAGAAACAGGACCTGGTATATAGGTTAGAGTTGAGTTTATCACATTGGCTGTGGAGAGCTGCTTAAAATTAAACATCTCTTATTTAAGCAGCTTTCCACAATTTTTAAAAAGATGTTTAATTGGTGTTTTAAATTAAAAGTGCAGCACATCTGTGTCCTGGGTAACCCTGGGGGGTCAGGCAGAGTGTGAATTTGTCAAATGCTGCTCCCTGAAGATCCTAGCAGAGTAACCTCTGTGGGCAGAGTTTGGGAAGGTGATACCACAGTTGGGGTATTTATGAGGGTCTGGTTGAAAGGGAGTCTCTCCGTGTGAGGGCTTGATCAGGCCTGGATGAGAATCGTGACAATGTGGTGGCAAGATCAGGCTTGGATGAGAATCGTAACAATGTGGTGGCTTGATCAGGCCTGGATGAGAATTGTGACAATGTGGTGACAAGATCAGGCCTGGATGAGAATCGTGACAACGTGGTGACAATGCTTGTTTTGAGACAAGGCTTCAGAGCCAGGCTGGATGGTAAGCACGCATGTGGTGCTCTTGAGGGTTCCTGAAGTGAACAGTCGAGTCATTTGCAGCTTTTATCTTGCTGGCCCAGAGTTTCCTAGACTAGTGAAGTCATGCTGTGGGTGAGGATGGCACCTGGTGGGGTTGTGTGTAGACACGTGGTGTGAGGTGGATGGGGTCAACTCTCACATTGAATGGACGGGTGGCATACTGGAAGCAGGAACAGTAAAGAAACTGTTGGAATTTTCCAGGCAAGAGATAAAGATGGAAACTAAGACACTGGCTTCTACAGTGGAAAAGATTCAGGGACACATATGGCCTCTCTGAGGAAGGACATGTGAGCCTCAAGTGTCCACTGTCTGTTGTAGATGTGGGTCTGTTGGGAGTCTCAAGGCCCCAGTAAGGACTGGAACCTGGGGAGCCTTTGGCTGGTCTCTGTTATTGAAAGCCACAGAATGGATGTAAAACCAAGGGTTAGCAGGCATAGCGAGAGGGGGAAATGGTGGAGACTGGAACTTTAGGGAGCCACGCTAGGCTGGGTGAAAGATGAGGAGCCAGAGAGAGACAGGCAGGGGAGTCAGAGGGAGGGGACAGTCAGTGGCCCCTTGGGGAGAACTGGACAGGCCAGAGCAGCAGTTGGGAATGTGATGGCCTGTGAAGGAGTTGTTGCAGCATCTTGTGTGGAATGGCTAGATCTCAGTGGCACTGGAAATAATCTTTCTAGAAGTGAGATGGTGAGGGAGGGAAAGAAAAGATGGAAATATTCGAGGAGGAAACCAGGGCATAGATAGGACAAGAGACATTGATCGTGGTGGTCAGCGGAGGGGCAGGGCTGAAAATAAAGGAGCTGCTGAAGCCTGTCCTGGAGAAGGGAGAAGGACCCCTTGTCCTCAAAGACAGAAAAGCAAGAGAGAAAGGCTGGTGTCGATGGAGGGAGAAGGTGCTACTCATTCTTTGCCTAGAACCTGGGACACAGGCCCATTTCAGAACAGTGGGGATGAACTGAGATGTTGTGCAGGCTGTCTGATTTTGGCAGTAAATGTTATGGATAACACAGGAGCCTTCCCTGTAGTGTGGACTATTGTTCTTTGGAGAAGTTGTGTACTGGAGGGAAAAGTGATGCTGATTTTCAGTTTAATGTATTTAAACACGCGGCCACTCCCTTCTCTTTGAGAAAAGCCCCGATATTGCCTACGTGAAACTGTGAGCTGCAGTTGCCCAATGTTCCTTCTCCTTGCAGTGCTTCAGAGTTTTTATTTTTCTTAAAATGTTCGGATTTGCATTTTTCTACTTTAATGAAAGAAGCAAATATTCAGTTTGTAAATTACTATGGAAATAAAATAGAAGAATATTATGTAATAATACAAGAATGAATACAGTAGAGAGAGTAATGACACTAGGCTGTCAAGGAAACAAACTATTATCTGTGTTTTAATTCTGCCACTGATTGATTAGCCAAGAGATATTGCTTCCTTTCCTTTTTCAATGTTAAGAATTAGTGTAGAGTTGGCCCTCCATGTGTATGGGTTCCATATCCCTGGATCCAACCAACTGTGGACCAAAAATATTAAAAGAAAAATAAATAGCATCTGTACTTACATACAGACTTTTTTCTTGTCATTATTCCCTAAATAATGCAGTATAACAACTATTTATGTAACATTTACATTGTATTAGGTAGTATAAGTAATCTAGAGATGCAAATACTACACCATTTTATATCAGGGACTTGAGCATCCACGGATTTTGGTATCCGCAGGGGGTCCTGGAACCAATCGTCTGTGTGTTTGACAATGTCTTTGGAAAGTACCTTACCAAGGCAAAGTAGATCACTAATTGACATTTGCTTACAATACTTTCATATTCCTGCAACATATTTGTAAATTTGACAGTGAGTTAAAATGGTGTAAGGATTTTTAGATGTATAATCTGTGTGGTGTTGTCACAGATGAGTTTGACCAGGTCTCCTTTGCCCGCAGCGCCCCTGGCGGTGCGCAGCCTCCAGGACCTGGCACGCATTGCCATCCGCGGCACCATCAAGAAGGTCATTCATCAGGAAGCAGCAAGCAAGAATGGAAATGGACTGAAGAGCACCCCTAGGTTTAAGCGCAGGAGAGTTCGCCGCCGTCGGATGGAAACGATTGTTTTTTTGGACAAAGAGGTCTTTGCCAGTCGCATTTCCAACCCCTCCGATGACAACAGCTGTGAGGACTTGGAAGAGGAGCGGCGGGAGGAAGAGAAGACACCGCCTGAAACAAAGCCAGACCCCCCAGTGAACTTCCTTCGCCAGAAGGTCCTGAGCCTCCCTCTGCCAGAGCCTCTGAAATACTACTTGCTTTATTACCGAGAAAAATAAGTCTGCTGTTTAAAAAGGGGTAACGAGGAAAAGCAGGTTGCTGAGTCTGAAGTGAGTGCTGCCCGCCTGCTGCGAGGGTCACTTGGGAGCAGGTCACTTGGGAAGGGGACTGCTGTACTCGTCCACATCAGAGTTTTCTTTCTCTAGCTCTTGATTGTCCTCTGAAATTTTGATTCAGTGGTATGATTTTTTTAAACATAATCTTACAAGATGTACACTGCAAAGAAGAATGTTTCCCCAAATTGGAGAGAATGCTCTTAGAGAAGGTGTGTTTTTTGCAGCTCTAGTAAAACACTAGGATGTGCATGGTAGAGACTGTCTGACAATCCGTCACACAACGTGCACATGGTATGCATTAAAAATGAAAGTGGAAGTTGAAATTAGCCTGTGTTTCTTATAAAGCACAAGTTGGTAAATGTATAAAAGCTTTTCCGGGTGTGGCACACCTGTGTCCAAGTTTGATTTTTTCCGGGTGTGGCACACCTGTGTCCAAGTTTGATTGATTCCAAGTTTGATGGAATCAATCTCTTACTGGCACTGAGTTTCATGTAACTTTTTAGTTACCTAGAGGCGGAAACATTAAAAAGCCATCCCTTATTTTAAGTAAATTAATTAAATCTTATGTGAGTTGTTAATTGTGATTTTTGAAAGGAAAAATTGTGATTAGGGGAGGTGGAATAAATATATCAAACTGCCAGATGTCTTTCTGGAATTACAGAAGAATTCCAAGTTTTTTTTCCCCCTGACACCTTTTGTTACCTTTAAAAGAACCACTGTCAAGTAAGTCCCTTAAAGGATATCCTGAAAAATGAAACAAGTTTTTTTGTGTAAGTAATAAGCTAAATTACTTTTACCCTAACCATAGGCATGATTATTTACCAAAGTTTAAAGACCATAGTGGGTTTCTAAAGTGTTGACAGGCTTACTCCTCAGAACAGGTGGAAAATATTAAGAATGCAAGAAATAGATTGGGGACTGTATTGTAGACAGCATGTGCTCTTTTGACTTCAGTTTGCTATTTTTCTGTGATCACATTAGAGTACTGACTCATAGATTTTATCTTTTATAATTCTGGAGAAAAAGATTTGTTAGTTTTGTAATTTTTCTTAAGAAAAAATATATGTATTTTAGTAGCCTCATTGCATTAGAACAGTTTAAATCAACAGTGATGTGTGAAATCAATCTTCTCCAGGCTTTGTGAGCCAAGAGCTTTCTGTCTTATCCAGCTGTGGGGCTGGAAGAAAATCAGGCTTTCTGGCAGTCAGACGGCAAAATGAATTGATTCAGAACACTGGTTCTTTTTAAAACCTTTTTTTTTTTTTTTTAACCCAAAGAAAAGAATAGTATAAATTGTTAACATTAAACCCAAACTCAGCGATGGAGTAGTATCCACATTTTATGATTAATTTTTACTCTTAGTGTCCTGGGAGTTGCTGGGGTTCATGGTCTCTGTAGTTTCACAAGCTTAACTAACTAATTTCTGGTTATTTTGGATTTTTTTCTGCTTTTTTAGTCACTGAATCATTTTTACCACACAATATAGTCTGCATGCACAGCTGGAAAAACCATGTATATTGCCCTAGACTGGTAAATTTAAGCTGATTTAAAGAAAGTTAGTTCATAGCTATGTTTACTTGCCTTCTAACTCAAAGTCAAGCTCCATTCTTTCAGAGAGAAATGCATGCTTTAAGTTTACTTGCTAATACTTTATAGTTTGCAGATCCTTGTTGACATTATTGTAATTGATATGTAGAAACTTATACGTTACTTGGGAATTTTTGGACATAATAGTAAATAAATGGTATCTGTGAAATCTATTATATTAGGTGGCTTGACTAAATTTTTTCCCTATAATTGTATATGCACTACATTTTTAAAACCACATTTGCCTTTATGCTAGATTGTAAAATTCATTAAAATGCATAAGATATGTTTTTCCCTGTAAAACTTTTCCTAGCATTTTGTATTTACATGTTGTCAGTCTGTGATTTTTAAACCAGAATTTGGTTAAAAAATATCATTGTAATATATGTGAGAAATAGTTTGGTGTTTATCTTAAAAAAAAAAAAGAATGTAAGTAAATTTTCCTGTGCTTGAGCACCTTATACCAGAATTCAGTATAATACATACTTCCTTTTTTTAAACTGATAAATCTTAACCTGTACTGTCTGTTAGGTATGTATTATAAACCACATTCTTGACAACTGTTTGCTTTTATGTTTTGCGTAGTCTGTATTTTAATATGTGACTTTTGTCTTGAAAAGTAGTAAAGCCATAGACTTGTGCAAAACAAATTTCAAATTGATAAATATTAAGTATGTAATGTAAGAATCAAATGTGTATGAGAAATACTTTTGCCAGTCTGGAACTTACAGGGAAAAACCCAAGAAATTTGAAACGTGGATTTTAATGAGCTGATGTACATGGAGAAACACAAATGATACCAATAAAGGTAAAGACATTTTATCCTCAGCATTGCTTGGTGTCGTCAAATTCTTGGTGATTTTCTTTTCAAAATCAAACTATTTCTTGATTGACATCACACAATTTCTTTCAAAGATACTTCTATTGCTTTAATTCTGAAACATTTATAGCAGACATAGGAAGGCATTATTTCTGATTAAAATGTGAAATTGGAATAGGCCAAAAAAAGTGGCTAGCTCTAAGTGCGTAAGACAATAGAGTTTGGAAGAGTGGTACATTTTGGGGGGTACAGTTCCCATTTTTTGAATGTTAAAGGATGTTTTCATAATGGAAACTGTCTTAAAGTGCAGGAAGTATTTTATTTGCAATGATTAGTTTGATTCATGTTAAATTCCTAGGTGTCCCCTATATGGAAGTTACATGACAGGATTGAAGATGAAAGCTCTGATTTCAGAGACTTAACATGAAAAATATAAACATGTAAAGAACTGGTGAAACAAATCGGACTGAATTTGAGATTCAGAAGGGGCTGAATGGTGCCAAGAAAATGGACAAGTGTGGAGCTTCAAGAATAAATATCACCAATGAAGCAAAAATTAAAGTTCAGGGGTCATCGTTTAGATCAAGGGTTGGGGTTAGGCTCAGGGATTAGGTTTAGGGGTAGGCATTAGGATTAGAGTTAGTATCGGGTTTTGGATTCTAAGTTTGGGTGTGGGGGTTTGAGTTAGGGTTGGGATAGGGGTCAGGGCTGGGGCTGGGGTTAAGGGTTAGGGTTAAGGGTCAGGGTCAGGGTTAAGGGTCAGCTCTGGGGTTAAGGGTCAAGGCCAGGGTTAGGGTCAGGGTCAGAGTTAGGGTTGGTTAGAGTTAGAGTTTAGTGTGAGGGGTCAGGGTTAGGGTTATGGGTTAGGCATTAGGGTTAGGGTTAGGGTTAGCGTTAGAATGGAAGAATGATAAGCATATTTTCTCTTTTACTCAGATTTTAATGAGAATGTTTTTACTCTAAACCTGTGTTGGGTTGGAGGGTTGGCACAGGAGCGGGAATTCAGGCAAGATTGGCATCAGAAGCTCTTCCTAGAGCTTTGTCCCTGGTGTAAGGGTGGATGTGGTGCGCTAGCATCAGGAATCCTGTCTGCAACCTGAGCTACCTGTCCCGCTGTCCCAGCCATCCCCACAGAGGCTCTCGTTGTGTCTTGTCTAGGGCAGAGAAAACAAGAAGAAAGGGAGGAGAGAAGGATGGGGGTGGGGAGGAGGAGAGTGGAAGGGATGGCAAAAGTTAGTGTTTCATAATCAAAAGAGAACAAGAAATATTATTTGTTTATTTTTCAACAGTAGTTGCTAGCCCTGGAAATGTGAAATGTAAATACATTAACTTTCTAATTCTTTGTGATGATTACATACTTTAAAAATATTTTTTAAATTAAGAAAAGTTCAGAGTTCTCCCAAAAGAACATTGGATTTTTTGGAATAGTTAATACCATCACATTGTTAAAAAAAATTTTTTTAAAAGCTATGCACCATGTGCCAATTACACCTGTGACATTTTAATTTATAGAGACGACTGAAGAAGAATTTATTACCTACATTCCCCAAGAAAATGCACGCCACACCACACAGGGCTACATGTGAGCACCAGCAGGCAGGAGAAGGGAGGGAAAGCCCAGGGACCAGCCTCTCGGGGCTTCTGTGGAAAGGCAAGGGCGAGGCACTGCAGTGTAAACAGCTGAGGTCATCTAGATTGAATAACCCTCATTGTCTGGCACGTGGCCCTGGGTAGATTTAGGGCAGGGGAAATAGCTGGGTCTGTGAGTAGTTCGGGGTGTGAACTCAGGATTGGTTGGAAGGTTTGCAACATGACTTTTGCACACCCACAAAAGCTGGATCAGAGAGATGTAAACAACTTTGATCTTTTGTCTCTGTGATGAATGAATGCCAGACACAGAATCTAAGGAAACAGAAAATTCTCCCCCCATCCCAGACACACACACTGTGAAAGGTATAGGGAAAGTCTCCCTCTCATCCCTATCTTTTAACTACTTAATTTCCACCTTCCTATTCATAGGTAACCATTTTTATTAGTTTCCTTTTGTATCCTTGGAGGTCTTTCCAGATTATCACACAGAAATTTCTCATCACCTCCCCACTTTTAAATGACTGCATATTATTTCATTGTACAGATGTACTATAATTTAGTTAACCAGTACTTTACTGATGGATATTTGTGTAATTTCCAAGAGTTGCTAATGTAATGGATGTTGCAATGAGTAGTGTTGAACTCACATCATTTTGCACATGTGCAAGTGTGTCTGTAGAATGAGTTTTCTGAAGTCTAGTTGCTGGATCAAAGGGTATATACACCTGTAATTTCGATGGAAATTGATGAAATGTCTTAGGAGGCATACCAGTTATGGTTCTCTCTCTCTCTCTCTCTCTCTCTCTCTCTCTCTCTCTCTCTCTCTCTATATATATATATATGTTTCCCACAGCCACATCAACAGTTTTAATTTTTAAAAGTTTTCTGAATATAGTGTCCTGTGCTTAGAAAATACATGTATTTGTTCAATTGAGCAATTAATATATAACTAGACATCTACTTTGGGAAAAATATTTTGAGATATTGTCTGAAATGTATCTAAAAATGTTGATAATCTGTTCATTTGTTCAGCAAGTATTTATAGATCTGCCATTGCATGCCTGGGCCTGGAACAACAGTGGACAAAACAGACGTTGTTTAAATATCACACAGTTTAAGTTGGGTACAAGAGCCAAAGGGAAAAAAGAAAGAAAGAAAGAAAAAGGAAAGCTAGCTAGAAGGGAAGTAAGATAGTTACATATGAGGAGAGGAAAAGTAATACGAAGGAAACAAAGTACCCAAATGTTGATTAGAAGGGAAGACCTATCTGAGAAAGTGACTTAAACTTGAGACCTAAAAAATGAGAAGGAACCAGCCATACAAAGAGCTCAGAAAAGAACATTCAGGCAGAGAACCGTGTGAGCACAGCCTCAGAGTGCAGCTAGAGCCTGGAGAGGAAGGGGGCAGCACACAGTGTGAGGGTGGGCAGAGGGAGGCCGAGTGATGGTATGATATGAAGACGCTGGTTTTCGTCCCGGTTCCTGCCTCATAACTCCCCTAACCCCTGTTATTTCCTAAGGGACTGAAACAGCATGCATATCTTTTCTTAAAGCATTTGGCTTTTGTCCTTGGTTCCTAAAGAAGCTTCAGAACAGCTCCAGAGTGACGAAAGTGAAGTCTTTTGTTAATAATGTTGGGGCACTTTAGGCCTCAGAAGCAGGTCACAGAAAAGTCTCTCCCTCTGACCTCCTGCCCCTTCCACCTGCGCCTTTTTCTCCCCAGGGCAGGCCATGGAAACTAGAAATGTACTCTACTCTTCTCCCACCTTTCCGTCTTGGAGCTGGCCATAAAAAGATTCTTTGATCTGCCTTGTCTGATGGCAGGTTATAATACTTCCATTTCAGGAGAAGTCCCAGTCATCTATTAGTACCAGATCACACAGTCCCATTCCTACTCTTGTCCATGCTTCAATCATGCCTGTCTGATGGGGTCTCCATAAAGGGCCAGGAGAATGGGATATTGGGAGCTTCTGGACAGCTGAATGTGTGGAGTCTTGCAGGAAGGTAAGAAAGAACTCGTCCATGTCTGGGAGGGCAGTGCATCCCAGCTCCATGGAACAAATCTCCTGCACTCAGAACCCTTCCAGACCACGCCCTATGTATCTCTTCATCTGGCTGTTAATTTGTAGCCTTTAAAATATTCTTTATAATATTATGGTCTTTCTTTCTTTCTTGGGGGACATGGAGGGAGGATAAGCAGTAGTTGGGTAAGGGACACAAAAGTCATTATAATTTGTAATGACGAACATGTGAAGCTGGATGGTCAAAGTTCCTGGGCCTGGACTATGACTGCTCTTTGACATCCGGTCAGTCTTGCTGGATCCCCAGGCAGACAACATTACAATTGAATTGGATTAGAACACACCCATCAGGTGTCCATTGCAGAACTGATTGCTTGTTTGTGGGTGGGGGGAAAGCCCCACACATTTGGCATCTGCTTTCCTGGTTGCTGGGAGCCAAGGAGATGCCCCTTGTCTTCTCTCCTCACACAGTTATGGTCATCTTGTGGATTCTGGTGAGGATTCAGGAGCTAATGCAGAATTCTAAGCAGAGCCACAATACAAGATGATTTACATTGTGCAGTGTTCTGAAGGCTGGTTGGAGGATGTGTGAACAGGGCTAGAGGAGGCCAGTTGGGAGCCACTGCAGCAGCTGAGGTGGGATATGATGGTGTTTCAGACCCGGCTGTGATCAGGGAGAAGGAGACCTGTACAAATGGAAAGCTTAGGTGGCAGCTGCTGATGTCATGGATTTGGGTGATAATGGGGAAAATGTTCGTCAGGGTTAACTACCAGGTCTCTGGCTTGAGTGACTGGGTGGATAGTGGCAGTGCATTTACTGAAATGGGGAAGATTCAGAGAGGATTGGAGGATGTTTAGAACTAGAGATTTAAGTTTGTACATGTTAAGTTTGAGATTACTATGGAATATCCAAGGGGAGACATACAAAAGGAGTTCAAGTCAAATTCATGAACTCGGTGGTGAGGTCTGAGCTGTAATGTATATTTTTTGACATATGGTAGGTATTTAAAGAAAGGGAATGAATAAGATCACTTAGGAAGAGTGCACTAGAAGGGTGTTAGGAGCACTAACACCAAATGCTCAAAACAAAGAATGCACGGGTATGTACATGTACATGTGTAAACGCTCAGTGCACAGTGTGTCCTAGCATTTGTAAGTACTCAGGCACACTCCTAAGTTTTTCCTTAGGCCTGTTTGTGAGAATTACCAAATTATTTAGTTGCTTCTTAAGCATGCTTTTTTTCTTTTAAATTAGGGGTCTTCAAAGAAATTTGCCAGAAAATTTGTTTAAGTAAATCTTCTGCTCTATGCAAAAATAGCATTAAGAAGTTGATGAGGTTGATTCAGGAGGGAGAAAGTCCTGGTGAAAACTGGATGCTTAAAGGTTGAAGACAGGGGA